TTGCACAAAACCCATGGTTGGCTTGTCTTGGCATGTTTGAAGCCCCAGACACCCAACAGCATCATTACAGGAAAGAGACAAAACCCCAAAGACTCCAGGCAGTGAGGGGGCTGTCTTTGGAGTGAATGGAGAATGTGTCTTGGCTTTGGGCTTTTTGGGTGAGCTCACCCAGTGGCTCAGACTGCCTGGCACCCCGAGTTCAGGTCTTCCCCTCTGAAGAACAGGGAAGGGTGAGGATAGGGGTGGGGAAAGAAGGCTGATTTTCGACATGTCTAAGGGACTCTTTCTATTTATCAGTGTTACCGAAGTGTACATTACTGGAGAAACAACAAAACAAGCATAGAGCTGCAATTTTCAAGAAAATAGGATCCCCAAATATAAAAATAAAAAAGTAGCAGATAAGATGTATAATTCAATCAAATTACACAAAATTGCTTGAAAATCCAGAACAGTAGCGATCCATTATGCTTCTGTTTTATTAGTGACAAGTACAATTACTCTAAAATAAAGAACACTGGTGAATATATAATTGGCTGTAATCATGTTAGTGTTTGAATAAAAATGACGGGAACATTTAACACTTTGACAACAAAATGTTCAGAAATAACTTATTTATTCAAACAGTTTTTATTTTCCACCAAGTGAAGGAGAAACACAGTTTGCTTAGGAAAAATCAATGACTTTTCCCTGCAACAAATAAATATCCAAAGGGGGAAAAAGCCCCATACCTCTATATTATCACTGTTATTATTTTTAACCAGCAAGAAGCTTAATCTTGTGTTTGGGAGTCAGCAGCCGCCTGACGGTTGTGGGACCCACGCCCGCCACCTAGAGGATGAACTCTGCAGCTCGCCCAACGCCCGCGGGGCTTCGGCGGTGATCTCGGGAATCAAAGTTAATATTCTTTTGCAAATTGCTCTCCCAACTAACTCCCTCCTCCGCACCCCCTCACCGCCCCAGACGCCCTACAACCTCGTCACAATATTTTCTTAGTAATTGCTCTACACAACTGACAGAAGCGCCAAGTCCCTGGCAGCGCGGTGCTCTCCCAGCAAAGATCCAGGGCGAGTTAGGGAAGCAGGTCAGGTATCATTTGGGTCTGGGGAGATAATCCACTCTCAGCCAAAACGCACCTAGCAGAGGCTGAATTGGGGTCTTGTGAAGCAATGGCTGTTGCCGGGACCACCATATCCCAGTGCTTTTTAGGGCTTTCTTGCAGAAAACAAAGCCGGGGTTCCTCTGAGGCTAGTTGCTTATGGGGGGCTTCCCCGCCCCGGACTTCCCCGGAGTCCACGCTTCCCTCCTTCTCCCCCTGCCCCTGCAACCAACCATCCCTGCAACTCGAAGGCCTGCGATCCCAGCTCTCTCTAATCAATTCTTCAAGCCCAGCGGGTCTTTTGATTTTTCCCAAATGAACTGCTTGACGTACAGAGGTAAAGGCATTAAGGGGAAGGTGAGATCTCAGGTCTCTGTTACACAGAGTCCCTGAGTTTCTAAAAAACTAACAGTGTGCGGGGCAGGGAGGCTGGATTGGGGATCCGGCCCAAGGGCCTACTGGTCTTTTGGCACTTTTGTCTGATGTCACCCATAGGCTCCTCTGGCAGAAAGAGCCACCCTCACGTCCAGATCCTGCCGGACCATTCTCACGCAAATCGTGGGGACAGGAGATGCTCAGCGAGGGTCAGGGGCCGTGGGAAGAAGAGAGGTACCGAGCTACTCGGTGCGCTCAGGGTCTGGTTGATCCCGAGTAGCAGACCTTCCACAGCTGCGCGCCCGCCGTCCAGGCCCGGCTCCACACCCCCCTGTCCTTGCTCTAATGTACCCAGAACACTGTTCAAGTCGCAAGTTCGCTAGAAAGCCGAGGAGGGGACAAGCAAGTTGAATGTTTTGGGGAAAAAAAACAACCCTGATAAATAATTGGGCATCAAGTACCCAATTTTATTCCTGCTATTTTCCCTCCTTCTCTTCCTTACCATCCTCAATTTCTCACTTCCTCCAGCCCTCTTCCCTTGTCTGCCTTCTGGCACCCTTATCTCTGTCTTTATCCTTTCCCCTGTCTGTCTCCTTCTAAGTAAGCGGTTCTCAACCTGTGGGTCGCGACCCCTTTGGCGGCCCATCGTTCCTTTCACAGGGGTCGTCTAAGACCATCCTGCATATCAGATCTTTACATTATGATTCATAACAGTAGCAACATTACAGTTACGAAGTAGCAACGAAAATAATTTTATGGTTGGGTCACAACATGAGGAACTGTATTTAAAGGGCCAGAAGGTTGAGAACCACTGTTCTAAGGGGAAGAGAAAGGACGCAGCAGGAGGGCTGTGGAGGTGACCATTTTTACATTGAATTTCAGAGCCTCCTTACTTGCCAGTTCTCAGTCCCGGTGCAGGAGCTTAAAGAAGACACCCCAAAGATGCTGCTTCCGTCCTCCCTCCCTGCCGTGACCTCAGAACCCTGGCCTAAGAAGTTCTTGTCATGTTGTGGAAATTATTTTTGAGATGGTCGAAATAAATGTATATACAAAAACCAAACCAAGACAAAAAACACCTCTAAAACCGATGTCCAGCACAGGCACCCCCCGCCCCCACCCAAGTGAGGGCCCGCCCCAAACTAACTCCACCCTCCCGCCTAAGAACTTAAGTCTTCAGAAATGTTTCGTGTTGTTTTATGTAAAACTAGCGCTTCCACTCCACTCCCAAGTCTATCATTACTCGCCCGCATTATATTAGCAGGCGATGTTAGCCTCCCCCTACGTGTTCAGGCTGCTAATGAGGGCCACTAAACGCAGCAAAAAATGCTCATCGGTGGCGCTTTTCCCAAGGCTGGCCGCGATGCTGGCGCCTTTTCCCATTCTTTTCAAGGCAGTCCCTTCCTCCAGGCCCCGTCCTTTTTCTCCTTAAGGCGGGGCTGAAAAAAGGGTCGGCCAACTCTGAGTGAGTGTGAGAGAGAGCTCACTCTATCTCCCGCCTGCCAATCCACCCAAGAAGTGGTGAATTTGGGGTTTTCCCTTGGGAGCAGGAATAGCTGGATGCTTCATCCGCGGCACTCGGTTGCCTCTCAGGGAATTTGCCTTCACATTTCCCTCAGCCACCCCTTTCCGTTCTCAGCTCAGCCTGTGAAAGCGGTCCAGGGTTGCGCTCACCGCCACCTCTGCGTCCTGCTTAGCCGCGGCCTTCGGAAGGCAACCCCGTCTGGTCTGCTGGCAGGAAAACTGGGCTGGAGATGCTTTCTGTATAAGACTGTGTGCTGTGTGCGTTTGTCTGGTGTTAGTAACTTTATGGGGGAGACGCTCCTGGACTTGCTGCCCACCCTTCGCCGTGGAGGAGGCTCCCAGGGAAGAAATCACCTGGGCTTACACGACGGCCTTTTGTCATTTTCTCTCCGTCTTTCAAGTGTGGCCTGGGAGAGTCATGCTTCATTTGTATCCAGTTTCCAAGAAGACCATCAGGGAGAAAGCAAAATAAGAGTAACTTAATGTGTAATAGGCACTACTCAATGGGTTTGGGTATAAAAAAAATAATTGCCTTCATTGCTTCCACCTGGAACACTTTTGCTTTTTAAAAGCCTAGAAAGTGTAAACATGAAGCAGTTTTCCAATTCTGGCTTTCTTCCTATGGCTCCTGAGGCAAGTGACGTCGCCTTTCCAGTTCTTTCTTCATCTTTAAATGATCTGCATGCATTGCTATGTAAAATGTCATCCACTCACCAAAACCCCGAACAACAATAAAAAACAGTTCCTCAGATTATAAGAACCTTCTTTTTTTTATGGATACAGGGGAAAAAATCTCATTCAAACGGCAGCAGCGACATCTAGTGACAAAAATGCTCAATAATAGTGATGAAGGTGTGGGATTGCTTACCCAGGTTTTCAGAGTAGAGAGACATCTTGGTTTTTCTAATAAATTTCGAGTGTCTGTCTGGCAATGAGCACTCTTTTGATATAAAAGGGCATTTTATTGAATTTATATATGTGAGATAAAGGA